ACCCCCACCTCCCCGCCACGCCCTGGGCTCCGCCCGTGGCCGTATCCTCACCCTCGCCATCGTCTCCTCTCCTCGCAGCAGGACCACCTCGTAGCCGTCACCGCGGAGCGTCACGTGGCTGAAGGTGGCGCCTGGACCCCTGCCCACCTGGCCACCAGCCGTGACCTGCAGGGCGGGCAACTGGGTGCCGCAGGTGGCCACCAACGTTTGGCTGCAAGCTCCGGCCAAGCCATAGTTCTTCCCGTCGAAGGCCCGGTAGCGCCAACGTCCCAAAACGTGGCAAACGAGCGGGGGCTGGGAGGCGGGGAGGCATCGGGGGGAGGTTTCCACCATCTTGCACCTCGTCCCCTTCGGGCAATGGACATCGGTGCAAGATGGGTTGATGGGAAGGCATCTGGGGGAGGTTTCCACCATCTTGCACGTCGTTCCGGATGGACAACGCAAGCCGTCGCAAGATGGCGCGTTGGCTACGCATTTGGGCCAACCCTCCACCATCTTGCACGTTGTCCCCTTCAGGCAACGCAGGTCTTTGCACGACGGCTCGTTGGGGATGCAGCTGGGGGAGGTTCCCACCATCTGGCACGTCGTTCCAGCCGGGCAATGAACGTCGTCGCAGGATGGCTTCTTCGGTACGCATTTGGGCCACTCCTCCGCCAGCTGGCACGTTGTTCCAGCTGGACAATGCATATCGTCGCATGATGGCTTGTTGGGCACGCACGTGGGCCAATGGGCCACCAGTTGGCAGGTTGTCCCCGCCGGGCAGTGCACCTCGGTGCAAGATGGCTTGTTGGGGACGCATTTGGGCCACTCCACCACCATCTGGCAGGTGGTCCCAGCCGGGCAACGGACGGTGTCGCAGGAAGGCTTGTTGGGGACGCACGTGGGCCAACCGCCCACCGTTTGGCAGGTGGTAGCCACGGGGCAACGGATGGTACTGCAGGTGGCTTGGTTGGGCGTGCACTTGGGCCACCCCTCCACCATCTGACACGTGGTCCCTTCCAAGCAGTGCACCGTGGCGCAGGTGGGTTTGGGAGGGAGGCAACGGGGGACGCCCTCCACCACGCGACACGCGGTTCCGGCTTGACAGGAGAGGGCGGCGCAAGACGTCGCGGGGAGGCTCCTCGTCATCCGCACGCACTTGGGCCACCCTTGCACCGCCCGGCATGGCGCCTCGCTCGGGCACTGCAGGTCGGCGCAGGAAGGGACGCGGACGCAACGGGGCCAACCGTTGAGGACCTTGCAGCCCATTCCGGCCACGCAGCGGAGGTTTCGGCAGGAGGGTCGGGAGACGCAGGCAGGATGGCCGTGCAGCAGCACGCAGGCAGCGCCGGGTTTGCAGGCAAGGTGCTGGCAGGAGGCGGGGACGGTGACGCAGTGGAGGCCGATGCAGGACAAGGGGGGCGATGAGATCCCAGGGGAAAAGGGGGGGATGGAAGCGGGGTGGCCCCAGGAGATGGAGCTGAAGAGGGGGTAGGTGGGAAGGCAGCGGGGCCACCCATCTGTCATGGTGCAGGTGGCGCCCTTGGGACATTGGATGTCACTGCAGGAGGGTTGGCGGGGGACACAGTGGGGCCACCCATCGGTCATCTTGCACGTGGTCCCCTTGGAGCACTGGATGTCACTGCAGGAGGGCGGGCTGTGGACACACTGTGGTTGGCCATCGACCCTCTTACACGTGGTCCCTTTGGGGCACTGGACGTCACTACAAGAAGGTGGTCTTGAGGACGTCTTGGTTTGGATGCAGCGTGGCCACCCATCCACCCTCTGGCACGTGGTCCCCTTGGAGCACTGGATGTCACTGCAGGAGGGCGGGCTGTGGACACACTGTGGTTGGCCATCGACCCTCTTACACGTGGTCCCTTTGGGGCACTGGACGTCACTACAAGAAGGTGGTCTTGAGGACGTCTTGGTTTGGATGCAGCGTGGCCACCCATCCACCCTCTGGCACGTGGTCCCCTTGGAGCACTGGATGTCACTGCAGGAGGGCGGGCTGTGGACACACTGTGGTTGGCCATCGACCCTCTTACACGTGGTCCCTTTGGGGCACTGGACGTCACTACAAGAAGGTGGTCTTGAGGACGTCTTGGTTTGGATGCAGCGTGGCCACCCATCCACCCTCTGGCACGTGGTCCCCTTGGAGCACTGGATGTCACTGCAGGAGGGCGGGCTGTGGACACACTGTGGTTGGCCATCGACCCTCTTACACGTGGTCCCTTTGGGGCACTGGACGTCACTACAAGAAGGTGGTCTTGAGGACGTCTTGGTTTGGATGCAGCGTGGCCACCCATCCACCCTCTGGCACGTGGTCCCCTTGGAGCACTGGATGTCACTGCAGGAGGGCGGGCTGTGGACACACTGTGGTTGGCCATCGACCCTCTTACACGTGGTCCCTTTGGGGCACTGGACGTCACTACAAGAAGGTGGTCTTGAGGACGTCTTGGTTTGGATGCAGCGTGGCCACCCATCCACCCTCTGGCACGTGGTCCCCTTGGAGCACTGGATGTCACTGCAGGAGGGCGGGCTGTGGACACACTGTGGTTGGCCATCGACCCTCTTACACGTGGTCCCTTTGGGGCACTGGACGTCACTACAAGAAGGTGGTCTTGAGGACGTCTTGGTTTGGATGCAGCGTGGCCACCCATCCACCCTCTGGCACGTGGTCCCCTTGGAGCACTGGATGTCACTGCAGGAGGGCGGGCTGTGGACACACTGTGGTTGGCCATCGACCCTCTTACACGTGGTCCCTTTGGGGCACTGGACGTCACTACAAGAAGGTGGTCTTGAGGACGTCTTGGTTTGGATGCAGCGTGGCCACCCATCCACCCTCTGGCACGTGGTCCCCTTGGAGCACTGGATGTCACTGCAGGAGGGCGGGCTGTGGACACACTGTGGTTGGCCATCGACCCTCTTACACGTGGTCCCTTTGGGGCACTGGACGTCACTACAAGAAGGTGGTCTTGAGGACGTCTTGGTTTGGATGCAGCGTGGCCACCCATCCACCCTCTGGCACGTGGTCCCCTTGGAGCACTGGATGTCACTGCAGGAGGGCGGGCTGTGGACACACTGTGGTTGGCCATCGACCCTCTTACACGTGGTCCCTTTGGGGCACTGGACGTCACTACAAGAAGGTGGTCTTGAGGACGTCTTGGTTTGGATGCAGCGTGGCCACCCATCCACCCTCTGGCACGTGGTCCCCTTGGAGCACTGGATGTCACTGCAGGAGGGCGGGCTGTGGACACACTGTGGTTGGCCATCGACCCTCTTACACGTGGTCCCTTTGGGGCACTGGACGTCACTACAAGAAGGTGGTCTTGAGGACGTCTTGGTTTGGATGCAGCGTGGCCACCCATCCACCCTCTGGCACGTGGTCCCCTTGGAGCACTGGATGTCACTGCAGGAGGGCGGGCTGTGGACACACTGTGGTTGGCCATCGACCCTCTTACACGTGGTCCCTTTGGGGCACTGGACGTCACTACAAGAAGGTGGTCTTGAGGACGTCTTGGTTTGGATGCAGCGTGGCCACCCATCCACCCTCTGGCACGTGGTCCCCTTGGAGCACTGGATGTCACTGCAGGAGGGCGGGCTGTGGACACACTGTGGTTGGCCATCGACCCTCTTACACGTGGTCCCTTTGGGGCACTGGACGTCACTACAAGAAGGTGGTCTTGAGGACGTCTTGGTTTGGATGCAGCGTGGCCACCCATCCACCCTCTGGCACGTGGTCCCCTTGGAGCACTGGATGTCACTGCAGGAGGGCGGGCTGTGGACACACTGTGGTTGGCCATCGACCCTCTTACACGTGGTCCCTTTGGGGCACTGGACGTCACTACAAGAAGGTGGTCTTGAGGACGTCTTGGTTTGGATGCAGCGTGGCCACCCATCCACCCTCTGGCACGTGGTCCCCTTGGAGCACTGGATGTCACTGCAGGAGGGCGGGCTGTGGACACACTGTGGTTGGCCATCGACCATCTTACACGTGGTCCCTTTGGGGCACTGGACGTCACTACAAGAAGGTGGTCTTGAGGACGTCTTGGTTTGGACGCAGCGTGGCCACCCATCCCCCATCTGGCACGTGGTCCCCTTCTG